CGGTGACCGCTGTGGAAGGCCGACCTGCAAATCGGAAGGCGACTGTTTGAGGGATGAGGGTTTTGATCGAAGAAGAAGATTTGCTCAAATATGTTTAAAATATCTAAAATATTATATAAGTTAATAATATTTGAAAAAATACTAGTAATTAGAGTGTGTTTAGTAATGTATTTAAAAAAAAAAATACTTAAATTATTTATGTAGCTAATGAGACATTAGAGTGTGTTACCTTTTTTTTCTATTAAAAAAAATCTACACTAGTTTTTTTAAAAAATCTGTTATAAACGGATGAGATTTTTTAAACTTACCGACATTTGTGTGATGATTTTCTGTAAACTTACGATGAGATTTTTTTATGCATGCATAATTTTGAGATTTTTTATGCGGAATTTTGTAAGATGAGATTTTTTGTACGATTGTATTTTTAAATTTTTAAAACTTATCGATTTATTGAACCATTTTCACAACATCAAATCCTTAATCATTGCCCAAATATGTTTAAAATATCTAAAATATTATATAAGTTAATAATATTTGAAAAAATACTAGTAGTTAGAGTGTGTTTAGTAATGTATTTAAAAAAAAAAAAAATACATAAAGTATTTATGTAGCTAATGAGACATTAGAGTGTGTTACCTTTTTTTCTATTAAAAAAAACCTACAATAGTTTTTTTAAAAAATCTGTTATAAACGGATGAGATTTTTTAAACTTACCGACATTTGTGTGATGAGATTCTGTAAACTTACGATGAGACTTTTTTATGCATGCATAATTTTGAGATTTTTTATGCGGGATTTTGTAAGATGAGATTTTTTGTACGATTGTATTTTTAAATTTTTAAAACTTATCGACTTATTGAACCATTTTCACAACATCAACTTTGATTTTGTAATTGAACAAAGTCCACATTGTTAGGGATGCATTTAATGATTCGATAACAAATTCCACATTTAAAGGGCAATATTCAATGCTACCCTTTTTTTAAGTAAAAAAAAAAAAATTGTCATAAATGGCATGTAATTAATAATATGATAGTTTGACTAAGATTTGACTTATTATTTTGGAAAATGATACTAATTCTTATTATATATACATAGAATTTTATTCTACACGAATATAAATACTTATATGTTTATTTTTTATTATATATTGTATTTTAAAACAGGTGTGCTATTAGTATAATCTAACTACAATATTATCTATTAACTAAATATTTTTCTTATAAAAAATAATTAAATTATTAAGGTTTTGATTGTTTATGGATTCAACTAGTTTTTATTTGATTTGTTTTTTAACTATAGTTGACTTTGAAAAAAGTGGTATGGTTAGTTGTTAGTGGATGTATTAAAATAATATTTAAATAAAATAATTACAGTTGATTTGGTATGGTTAGTTGTTAGTGGATGTTAAAATTATGTGAGTGGATGAATAGTGAATTAAAGTTGATGTGATGTGTAAAAATGATTGGTTGATATTATTTAATTATATTGATAATATGAGAGATAGTAGGGTTGAATTAAAGTTGAATTAAATTTGATTTTGATTGGTTTTTTTACTGTTGAAATCAAAACCATATAACTTGGAATTTTAAGAATAATCCTCCTTATATATAATTCCAGAATGCGCTGAGCCTACGTGGCTGCTTCTGGTGCTTCGGAATCCTACTTGGCGAAGAATCATGCTTCGTAGTTAGGTTTGGACAAATAATATTATATATTAATAATTTATAATCTAGGTTCGGGCATTCTATAAATATTATTTGGCTAACTTAGATATTTTAATATCAATTGTACTAATATAACCCTTTAATTCTTTGTAATTTTAGATAGTGAGTAACTAAGTGACTAATATATCACTGTCTTTTGATTTGTTTCCAACAATTAGCTACTGAAATTCATTAGAAAAATACAATTATTTCTTAATTGATATATTTATGTTTAATGTAGTTATATGTTGTATATTAAAAAATTATTATAATGTAATACAAGTAAGTCACACAAATAAAAAATGTCATACTAAATAAAATAATATAAATATATTTAAAATATATTTAAATTTTCAACTATCTATTTTTAGTAATTTTAGATTTTAAGAAAAAAATTAACAAGCACCCGTGTAATACACGGGCGTTGTACTAGTTATCTTCTATTTATCAATAATATAGAGCGTGGAGAAAGTGTTGATGAAAAACATTCATTTCAATAATGTAGGCATTATAAATATAATTTTAAGACAACATTTGATCACATTTTCTAGCCCTTTAAAATTATTGGTCGACCGCTTTGCCGCCACCTCCCATATTACGAAAACAGCAGTATATTGCATCGACGGTGGTCACGCCGCCTTTCTGTCGAACGCGGTACTTCAATGTCCGGCCCTCGACAACATGAAAAGTTCCGCCGCCAAACCGTTTCTGTACCCTACCCTTCCTCTCCGCCGAACGGCGGACCTGAACGCGGCGGCGGCCAGCGACTACGCCGCCAGGCTCCACCTCTGTGGCTTACGTGGCCCTTCCACCTACGCCCTCTCCGCTGGAATCCACGCCCACATGATAGCCTCTGGGTTTTCGCCGCGTGGTCACATCCTCAACCGCCTAATCGATTTTTATTGCAAATCCTACAACATTAGCTACGCAAAGAAGCTGTTCGATGAAATTCCCCACCCAGATGTTGTCTCGAGAACCACCCTGATTGCTGCCTACTCCACCTCTGGAAACCCTAAGTCGGCCCGGGAAATATTTGACTGTATCCCGTTAAGAATCCGAGACACAGTTTGCTACAATGCCATGATCACTTGCTATTCCCATAACAAAGACGGCCTGGCGGCCATTCAGCTCTTTAACAAGATGAGGCAAGAAGGTTTCAAACCTGATAATTTCACCTACACGAGCCTGCTTGCAGCTTTGGCGCTGGTAGCCGAGAAAGAGCACCATTGCCAGCAGCTGCACTGTGTGGTGATCAAGTCCGGTACCAGCTCAGTTACCTCGGTTGTGAATGCTTTGATGTCTGTTTACGTCAAGTGCATGCTATCGCCACTCGTGTCATCTTCCTTGCTGATGGCATCAGCGAGGAAGCTGTTCGACGAGATGCCCGCGAGGGATGAATTATCCTGGACAACAATAATCACAGGCTATGTGAAGAACGAGGATGTTGGTTTGGCCCAGGAAGTTTTTGACAGGCTAGATCAGAAGCTAGTGGTGGTGTGGAACGCTATGATTTCCGGGTACGTGCACAAGAAAATGGTGTCTCAAGTGTTTGAGATGTTTAGAAAGATGCATTCGTTGGGTATCAGGCATGATGATTTCACCTACTCGAATGTTTTGAGTGCCTGCGTGGATGCCGGGTTGTTTCTTCATGGCAAGCAGATTCATGCACGCATCCTACGCACAGAGCCAAAGCCCACGTGCGACTTTTTGGTGTCCGTAAATAATTCTCTCATCACTTTATACTGGAAAATGGGAAGCCTTGACCTGGCCAAAATAATTTTTGACTCCATTTGCAACAAGGACCTCGTGTCATGGAACACGATCTTATCAGCCCACGTGAGTGTTGGCAAAATTTACGAGGCGAAATTCTTTTTCGACAAAATGCCTGAGAAAAATATGCTGTCCTGGACTGTGATGATATCGGGATTTGCGCAGCATGGTCTAGGCGAAGAAGCTCTGAAGCTTTTCAATCAGATGAGGTTGCACGGGCTGGAGCCGTGTGATTATGCATTCGCGGGGGCCATAACCTCCTGTGGGGTGCTTGCTTCCTTGGAGCAAGGCCGGCAGCTCCATGGACAGCTCATCCGGCTTGGATTTGAGTCGAGCCTTTCAGCCGGAAATGCTTTGATAACGATGTACGCCAGATGTGGGACTCTGGAGGCTGCGCAGGGCATGTTCCTCACTATGCCCTGTTTGGACTCAGTCTCTTGGAATGCGATGATGTCGGCCTTGGGACAGCACGGGCAGGGTGCCCAGGCGCTGGAGCTTTTCGAAGAGATGGTGGAGGAGCAAATACTGCCCGACCGGGTCACGTTCCTGACCGTCCTCTCGGCATGCAGCCACGCGGGCCTAGTCGAGCAAGGGCGGAAGCACTTCGAGTCCATGAGTAGAACATACAAAATAACGCCCGGCGAAGACCACTACGCGCGGCTGATAGATCTGCTGTGCAGGGCGGGCAAATTGAGCGAGGCCCGAGATGTGATACAGAAAATGCCTTTTGAGCCGGGCCCTCCCATATGGGAAGCCCTGCTCTCTGGGTGCAGGCTCCACGGGGACATGGATCTCGGGGCGGAAGCCGCCGAGAGGCTGTTTGAGATGGTCCCGAAGCACGATGGGAGCTACATACTCCTGGCGAACATGTTCTCGACGGCTGGTAGGTGGGATGACGTGGCTAAGGTGCGGAAGATGATGCGGGACCGCGGGGTGAAGAAGGAGCCTGGCTGCAGCTGGCTCGAGGTCGAGAGCAAGGTGCACGTGTTCCTGGTGGACGACACAATGCACCCAGAGGTGAAAACAGTGTACACGTATCTCAAGGATTTGATGCTGAGGATAAGGAAATTGGGGTACGTTCCGGATACCAAGTTTGTTTTGCATGATATGGAATCGGAGCAAAAGGAGCAAGCCTTGTCGACCCACAGTGAGAAGCTTGCAGTTGTTTATGGGCTTCTCAAACTCCCGCGAGGGGTGCCCATTAGAATCTTCAAGAACCTGCGTATATGTGGGGATTGTCATAATGCAGTTACTTTCATGTCGAGGGCGGAGGATAGGGAGATTATCGTGAGGGACGGGAAGAGGTTTCATCATTTTAGAGACGGCCAGTGCTCGTGTGGTAACTACTGGTGAATGAAAATAATGTCAGAAGGCAATTTTTTCCATTCTATTTTTCTGTGATAGTGATAATTTGGTGGTCTGTATATGGTTGTTTGGGGGTTATAGGCTGTGATCAAACAGATTTCTTATTTGATATTTGAAGGTTATAGTGTTCTTTTAGCTACCCTTCTTGATCACCCTGATTAATATTTCCATATTTCCAGTTGTATGAATCCGAGTGGCTTTTATAGTTTTGGGAGCTGGAGGTGAGCTAAGAAATGAGGTCTGTTATTTTTGGAAAATATGATTATGCTAATCGTGTGGGGTGGCATCGTGGTATCGGCTGGTATGTTACATCTATAATAAGGATTAATATACTTTATTTTTAGAATTATTTTACTGCCAATTTCATTAATTATTACCTAAAAATAATAAATTAACAAAATCTGTATTTATTAACATATATGTTTTATCCGATTTTTTATTTTTTAGGAATACAATAAAAAATATGGAATCAAAATCCAAACTAAATCTCCTTTTTTTGCCGCACACAAAGAATTCTCTTAATAATCTCATGGAAACAAACAATTTACTCCCTCAAAAATCGCATGCTAAGATTTATACCTAATTTAATAATATACACGGCTCAAAAAATTTAATAATGTAATAATAAGCTAAATTATTTATGCGTTGGATTCATGCAAAAAAAAAAAAAAAATGAATCCAAAGAAAATTTTGAACAGATTTCTAAAATCATGGTTTGTTTATATCATCTATTCACCAATTTAATAATATAATAATAAATTATTTATGCGTTGGATTCATTTTAAGCAAATTTTAAACAAATTTCTAAAATTATGGTTTGTATATTTCATCTATTCACCAATTGAATAATTTTTCTACATTATCGATTTGAAAAGAAAAATAAATTTTATATACCTTATCGGTTTTGACAATACAATGTTATAATCATTGTCATTATTTATTTTAAAAGATAATGTTTAACATTTATTTGCTTTCAAAAGATGAAAGTTTTTACATAGTTTAGGTCTCTTTTCATTTATGCATTTACAAAAATTAATTTAAACACTCTAATAACGATTGACAACAAAATTCGTTATATATTGAATCAAACTAACTAATTAATAAAAGAGTCCATCAATCACGAAATTAAACAATAACACACGATCACTACATTTCAAAGATTAAGTTTTTGAGATATATATTCATTTATTTTGTCACGACGATAAGCAAGAGTGAATGTCAGTCTTTCTCGCACGTTTGCATATTTTTGAAGAAACATGTTTTTAGTCATGATCACTTATATGTTGCAATTTCGTGTGTTACAAATAGAAAAGGTTGAAAATATTAATTCGTGGGAACAACAAATTGCCCAATAATCAAACTAATAATATTGTTTACAATTAGGTTTTTTCATAACAAATGATTTTTTCAGACCCGAACATTTTATGAGCATTTTCCGCCTAAAACATTAATTACCTACTATAAATAGAAATAATATAATATGATCTAAATAAAAAATAAATCACTAATTGCATAATTTTCATATAAATCGGCTTTCGGTTTATGTTTGTTTTAGTCAATTTTTGGTTTCCTTTAATTACGCTGATAGTGGTTTTGTAGGCAAAGATTATGTAAATAATTACATGTAGCCGATTTTGGAACTCTCATTTATTGAGGATTCTTTTTTTATTTTAACAAATTTATTCAAATCATTGATTTGGATTAATATATATGTTAGATACACAAAAAACAATTATATAGTAATATTTAATTTTGCATTGCATCAATTTTAGAATTCTCATTTGTGAGGATTCTTTTTTATTCTATCATATTTATTAGAACCAACAATTTGGATTGACATTCATATACACAAAATATAAATTTTATATTATTATTTAATTATGTTTTTCATTGTAGCATTTTGAAAATGAACGATTTTATATGAGATATATACAATTTTTTTTTTTTTTTTGAGAGATACACCAATTCCCTTTATTGGTTTTTTTTCAATTGTTTTTTTAAAAAAAAAAAATTCAAAATTTTGTATAGTAAATCTATTTTTTGTTTTTGTATACACGAAATATAAACCTATTATGCAAAATCTATATCTATATATATAAATTTACTACATAAAAAGTTGTCACAGATATAATAGGAAAGTTATCCAATTAAAAATTGTTCAGCTTGAAAATATATAAAAAGTTCTCATACATCCAATTAAAAATTGTTCGGCTTGAAAAAATTAGCGTGAAGTAATGTCTAATCACTAATGTTTTTATATTTTATATCTACTATATATAATCTCTCTCATAAAGTTATCGTGATGCAATGTTTAATGTTTTGTATTATTCATACATATTTTTGTAGATATAATTACTAATATTTTTTAGACTTTAATACGTATTATTCTCATGTAGTATTTTGTATATTTTAAACATGTTGTGCATAAATGTGTGGGCGTTGAACTTTTTTTTAGACATTTATTACTTATAAAATAATTTAGAAAGGTGACCTCACATTTTTTAGGAATAATATAGAATATTTTAGATAATCTGACACATGTTGTATAATAATTTAGTGCTTTTAATATTTTAAAAATACATGTTTAATGTTAATTTTGAACAAAATAAAAAAACTATAAAATATTAGTGAATACTATTTAGGTAATCAAGTATACTTGATATTAAAATAATAAACTAACAACTCATTTGTCCAACTGCCGTATAAATTATCATATTATAAATAGACGGTTTTGCTATGAAATCAGAGCCAACCTTCTATATACAACAAGTAAACCATACCATATTAATAAAATTATTAGTGTTATTTAAGTAATCAAAGAAGGTTGGCTCCACTATAGAGCCAACGGTTGGTTACATAGAAAAACCGTATAAATAGATCCATCTTATACTTCCATTTAAATTCCAGCAGCACCAGTTCCTTCTGATTTTGGGGTTCTATTTAACAGTCAAGGTCAGTCTTTTTGTATAAAAAAATATAGAAATATTAGTGAATAGTATTTAACTAATCAAGTATAGTCGATGTTAAAATAACAGCTAATTTGTCTGACTGCCTAAGTAAATTATCATATTATAAAAAGATCCATTAGGATTCCATTTAGGTTCCAAAGAACCAGTTACTTATAAGCTTAGGAATCTATAGGATCAGGGTCAATCTTTATGTGTGTTAGCTATTATTAAGGAATTCGGATCTTAACCACAACCAATTATATGTTGTTATTTACGTGTAAGTAATAGATAAGAGTTGCGCATTGACATGTTCTTAAAAAAATTGAGTTCTGATCACGATTAATTATATGTTGTCGTTACACGTGTAAGTAATAGATAAAGAGAGTCTATTGTACGTTAGCATGTTCTTACAGAAATCGATTTTTAGTCACGAAGTGTTGTTTGTTTCGTGTGTAAGTAATAGAAAAGGGTTGAAAATATTAGTTTGTGGGGACGATGAGTTGCTCAGTTATTAAACAAATAATGTTGTGTACAAGAAAGTTTTAAATATATACTTTTTTTTTATGAGGAACATTTTATGGTTTGACAATTTCCCTACGAATTATTACTCTTTTATTTATTAATATATTTTAATATTTTAATATTTCCCAAAATAAATACAGCCCGTGCATCGCACGGGTTCCATACTAGTTGACATAATGACACAACACAATATGCCCAAACAACACTACATGATAAGAACTTCTGTATGTTTTATTTTGTGTTAGGTGAGTGTAGTTGTGTATGTTTTACTTTGTTTTTGGTATCATGGTGGAATATCATTTGTGAGTCGTCTCACATTGATTTGATATATAAATGAGTCTAGTTTATAAGCTCAGTGGGCTACTCCTCCTATCACTAATTGGTTTTGGGATGAAACCTCACCATGGTGCACCTAGGCTCACCCTCTTATGGTACGCTTCACTGTGTGAAACCGCACTTCTGATTCCCCGATTATAAAAAATTTGATATGGTATCAGAACGGGTCTAATTCGGGACCTGCGATGATTTAAAAAAAAAATGTGTACCCGACGTGGTTGTAGGCTTGAACTTATGATGATTAAATGTACCCGGCATGGTTGTAGGCTTGGGCTGATGTAGGACTCACAAGTGAGGGGCGTGTTGTCGGTGTTGGAATATCACTTGCGAGTCGTCCCACATTGATTGATAGGGTAAATGAGTCTAGTTTATAAGCCTAGTGGACTACTACTCCTATCATCAATTGGTTTTGGAATGAAACATCACTATGGTGCACCTAGGTTCACCCTCTTATGGTGCGCTTCGCTGTGTAAGACCGCACCCATGATTCATCGATTATAAAAAAAATTGACAGTTAGGCCTCTAATCTCAGTGTTTTATCTCCTTCATAGGTGGGTATTTGTGTGTGGTTGTATTTTTTTCCTTGGTAGAGTGTAATTTCAAGGGGATTTGTGTTGAGGCTTGTATTGGTTTTTATTTAATTTTATTATATTATTATTTCCAAAAATAAAATATAAGAACTTGTTATAACATGGTAAAAACGATTTATAACATGGATAAACGTTACAATTTAGGCTTAATTGCTAATAAATCCATGACTTTTTTGAAAATTGCAATTATATGCACCACTTTTAAACTTGACAAATATATACACCACTTTTATAATTTTTGGCAATTGTATGCACCGGGCTCAGTTTCGGGCTTTGACTGCTGACATGGCTGCTGAGTTTAAAAATGATGCATATAATTGCAATTTACGAAAAGATCATGGTTTTATTAGCAATTAAGCCTATAAAATATTTATTTAATTTTATTTTACTATTTCATTTATTATATTTTCTATCTTATATTATATTATCTTATAAGATAATAAATATAAGATAATGAATATTTATTATATTATAATAATATTATAATGTATTACATTATATAATATTATATTTTATAATATAATAAATATAAGGTGATATAATATAATAATTAATAAATAATATATTATCTTATATTATATCATTTTATAAA